TTTCGTCATGTTTCCCCGTTCGATGGGGGTTCTACGTGACTTCTGATCTCGGGTGCGCCTGCGCCTTTGTGTGCCTTCGGGACTAGTGTTGGCTTCTGTGTTCTCGAGGATTCGGGAAGGTTTTTTGCTACTTCCCGTATTATTGGAACGTCTGTCGGCTCCTCATCCTTGTCGCCGTTTTGGGCTACTTGTGGCCCGGTTGGGCTACTTGTGAGCCGGTTGGGCTACTTGTAGCTCTGTTGGGCTACTTGTCGCCCGGTTGGGATCCTTTTTGGGCTCTTTGCTTCTTTGGCCGGTTTTATTGTTCCTGCTTCCTCTTTTGGCTACTTTTCTAGTGCAGTAGTCCTGGTTGGCGCCTTCCCGCAGAGAGGGTTGTGCGGTTCGGCCAACGTGTTATGCGCATGCGCCGTGGAGTTTGTTTTGGTAAGGGCGGTGTTTCTGTGCTGGTGTTTTGCGCCCTTTTTGCTATGGTGCTTTGCCTCTCGTTTTCTCCCTGGCTGCGGTATGTGCCCCTTCGCTCCGGGGGTGTCCTGGTTCCCAGTTGTGGGGAGGACGCCGCGATTTTCCCTGTGTCATGGGTGTGGGCCGCCTCCTTCGCCTCTCCCTGCTCTCCTGCGGGTCCAGCAGGGTCTGGCTCTGGCGTCTTCACCTGGCGGTGCTCCCAGGTTCTTCTGGGCACGGTCAAGTCGTGTCAAGTTCGTACCACCGTTCGCCAGGTGAGTTTCTGCGGTCTGGCGTTTTTTGGTCAGGCGCTGCATGCGGTGTTATTTATATACCTGTCATTATTTAGGTATTTTTGTACGACTGATACCGTTTGCACACCAGTGACTGTCCCTTTTTCAACCCTTCCTGTCCCTCTCATGTGCATGTCCAACCCATGCTGGAGTCATTCAGGGGACCCTCCTTTTTCATGTTATGAGGTGTGGGGGTTGTAGGGTTGGTTCTGTACTCACCTGGTAAGGCTCCTGGCTGTGCTTGCAGGGTTTGAGCTCTGGCTCTTGGGTCCCGCCTATCTGGTAGAACTTGCGGGATAGTACCAGTGGAGTGCAGTGGTGCTATTGGCACAATTGGGGAACACTGTATTACCATCAGAGGTCTGTGCAAGTTACACGACCTACTTGCGAGCATAAGCCTTCTTGCTGGTTCGTCTGTGCACTTCCAGGGCACACTAGCCTATTTTCGTATAGCAGTTCCGGCCCATCCTGGTTGTGGGGGTATGTGGGCCGGCGGGCCGCTCCTAGCAGCTTCCTGGTGGGCCACCCTCTGGCCGGTCTAGCCTGGCCTTGGGTCGGGCTTGGGGTGTAAAAGAGCTCCCAGTACCCCATCCAGCAGGTATCGAGCGGGGTTTCTCCGCCGTCGGTCGCCTGGTGCAGGTTTCTGGGCCTGCTGGGTTTTGTCGTGTCTCCGTTGGCCCTGTCTGGGGTCTGCCTGCTCCGTTTCTCTGCCTTTGCAGAAGAGAGTTGCTATTTACATGTTGCATGTTGCGGCGGTGCCTGTTGTTGCTGCTGCTGCACGTGTGCATTGGTACCGTGTTTCACGGTGGTGTGTCCTTGTTCCTGTGTCCGGTTGTGGTGTGGCACTTTGCTCCTGTTTTGTGCCTGGGGATTGCGTGGGGGTTTTCTGTCCCTGCTTGATTGTCCACCCCTGGTTGTTTTACTGTTTTTTTTGTGCTTCTGCTCTTTCTTCCTGCTTCCTCTGCAGCAGGGGTGTTTTGCGTGTGTTCTTGGGCATTTTTCAGCCTGTGTCCTGTGATGTGCTTCTTTGTCTCGGTCTATTGCAGTTGTTCGTACCCCTTGGTTCGGGTACTGTTCTGGCGGCGACCCTTCCGCCTTCTTTGGTTTCCTAGCTTGCCCTGCCGTTTTTTTTTTGCTTTTTTTTTTGGGTCTTGCGATGTCTCGCGTCGGACCCGTCGTTTCTGAACTCCTGGCGAGCTTGCATGCTTTGGGGAGTTTTTCTGTTCGGCAGACGTTCCATCTCCTTGTGCCGCCTGGGTTTCGGTGGTCGCGCCCGAGATCTTCCCGCGGCTCCGCCTTTTCCTGGGCTCGGAGGGGCCTTGTCGGGGCTGCTTATGTTCTGCCTCGCGGTCTCGCCTCTGGTTGGTGGTCGGGTGGTTTCGTGGAAGGTGTTCCACCTGCGTGTTTCTCTTGGCGGCAGTATGGGGTATTTTGGCGGTCCTTCCTTTTCCTGTCCATTCTTAGGTGATTACTCTTGTTAGCTTGGTTTACTCTCGCCTTGGTTTTCTGGTGGGGGTTGGGGGCCGTCGTCTTGCCACATACTGTCGCCTCTTTTCGTGCGGCGCTGGCGGAGCCGCTTCAGCTTGCTTTCGGTCTTGGTGTTGCTTCTGCACTGTTAGTAAGCTGTCTCGTGCGTCGTTTCACCTCCGGCCTGTTCGTGTGCCGCTTGCACCATCCTGGTCTCTGGTCAGCGTGCTTTGTCTTCTCCTCGGTTGGTAGTGCCCCTTCGGTTCCGGTGTGTTTTTTCGTCGGGTTTTTCCTTTTGGCCTTTGCCTCTGGGGGTCGAGTCGCTGAATTTTCTTGGTCCTTCAGTTTTAGCGTTTTGGTTGTTCGGTGGCAGCAGTCTCCATCTTTTGTGTCACGGGGTGGGGCTGCTGCGCCCTGGAGGGGTCCAGGGTTTGTTGGTGCTTCGTTGCTCGGGCCGGGGGTGTGTCGTGTTTTGTGTTCAGTGGCGGCCCTCCGCTGTTGTTTGCGTGCCACGGCGTTTGGGTCCAGAGCGCGTTTTGTGTTGATCCGGTTCTGTTCTTCCCGGTTCGCGGGTGATGGTGTCCCGGGTGGTCAGCCGTGTTCTTGCGGCTAAGCTGCCCGTGTTCTTTCCTCATGCCTGTGGCGTTCGTGGCTTCGCTGCTCTCGCTGCCGTCTGGGCGACGTGGCCTTACAGTCTTTCGGGCATGGATTTTTGGTGTTCGTGCAGGGGCCTTGCTGCTCGTTGTTCTCGTGTTGTTCCCGGGACTTTTCGGGGCTGTGGCGCCTTAGGGTGGGCGTTTGCTGCCGGTTGTCTCGCTTCCGTGGGGGGTGCATGGTGTCTGCCTCCCGGTTCTGTCCCTTTGACCTTCCTCTGTGGGTAGTTAGCTCCGGGGAGCCGACAGGGCTCCCCCCAGAAAACCATCGTTGAATGTAATGAAACACCATTTTCTGGGTGAGACCCGGAGGCTCCCCGGCAACCCTCCCTCCCTCCGGTCGGCGTTTTTTTGCATGTTTTGACATCCAGCCTCAGAACTGATGGGTGGATAGCCGGCGTGGGAGGTCTAGGGCTTCCCCTTCCCCCTCCCGGGGAGGGGGGAGCTGCGCAGACAGCGGCGCGGTGACGTATGACGTCATACTAGCTTCCTTGTTTTCTGTTGAAGAGTTCTATCCACTAGTTCGGCTTTAGGTAGCAATTTTCACCAGAATAGGGGTTTGTTTTGGAATGCTTACCTTTCTGGATGCTTGACCCGGTCGATGGCAGACATAGAATGCTTCCTACCACACGGGGGTTTCTATAGGCCATTGCTCCCCTTGCCTCTCTGAGGGGGCCAGGTTCTGGCCGTGGTCCCCGGTAGGCCCTAGAACTCCATACACATGACTGATGCTAAAGTCTGACATTAGCATATCAGCCGGTAAATCTCCGGGGAGCCGACGGGTCTCACCCAAAAAATGGCGTCTCATTACATTCAACGCTGTTTTTTTTCACTAATTTATATGCCTTTCAATCAGATTTTATATCGTTAGTGGAGGCTACACAACTTTTGATGGGAATTCAGCATCGGCGGGTGCAGCATAGCTTGCAGAGCATTTGTTGCCGGCGGTGGCTGCACAACTTGTTGATGGGAATTCAGCATCGGCGGGTGCAGCATAGCTTGCAGAGCATTTGTTGTGGGCGGAGGCTGCACAACTTATTGGTGGGAATTCAGCATCGGCTTGTAGGGCACTCGTTGCCAGCGGATGCAGCATGACTTGTTGAATTCCCAGTGGGTGCTTTCACGAACCGTTGAAATCATGAATGTATCTATTTTTGTCTGAATCTGATTTTCTCTGGCTAATATTCTGAGACATTGCTCTCAGCCTCGTGAGTTAACAGTAAACAATGCGGTCACATGGCTAGGCGTAGTACGTTTTAGGTCCGTGGGAAAAAAATACCTATTGCCTATACTATAAAAGGTATTTAATAGGAAAACAAAGAATTTTGTTTAATAACAATTGTTTTAAAGTATTTTATTAATAACAATTTAGAATTTTCTTCATTAAACTGAATCATTTTAAAAGTTAAGATTTAATATACCACTCTGGATGATCGCCTGGTCGCCATGTGAGGGGCTGCTGATGCCAAAACAAACCTAACACCGACCGTCGGTAATATCGACCACCAGACCGGTATACGAGGCTCCTGATGCCAATCTCCCAAACCGGTCGTTAATACCGGCAGATCAGTATAAAAGAGGTCGTTAAATTGAGTGGATATATATATATATATACATATATATAATATTTCAGGCACACATTTTGCCTGAAATATATTACGGTAATCATTCACTTGTCAAAAATTTCAATGGCTTATAATATGGCTACACTCCACATTCTCCAGCCATGGCCTTAGGAACATTTTGTAGGCCTTAGTAACCTAGGCTATGTCACTGAGCCCATGGAAAGAAAGTGAGGGACTCAGAATGTTTTTTTAAGATGGTGTATGGTTACTGGAGGCCTGAGGATGCAAATTTGTGCCCCCTTCTATGCACGGGAGTTTCAAATCTTATGATATACTAACATAATCACATGTCGGCTGGTGCACCTGCACACCCCCTTAATATGTCAGCTGGTGCAGTGCAAGGGTTTAATTAAGGTTAACCCAGGGAATAACTGTTAGTTTCTCCTCACACTTTTCCAATACATTGTATGGCAATTCATGTGGTCTGTCACATTATTCTATTTCTGTGTATAATATATATAAACAGTATACTGTATATTGAAAATTAAATATTTGTGTTTTGTAAATAATTTCCTCCACAGGTACAATATAGAAAAACAGTTCCGTACCCCTCCTCCTAGTCGTCCTTCAGTTGAAGAAACACGTCATGAAAGACTCTTGAAAGAGATGATGGCATCCAATGAGTTAGCTCTAGCCCCACTTAGTGAGAAGACTTTTGTTCCTAAGACTATTTTTGAGAAAAATGTCTCTCCATCTCTGGTAAAGGAGGACTGACTGTGGAGGCATGTAGATTTTGTTGTATATAAAAATATTTGTTAGTGATACAATGTTGTTTTATATATATTGAACCTTATTGAACTTTTTCCCAAAATGCCTTATTTATCTTAAAATATTTACATTTTAGTAATTTTTGGTGCTGTGTGTGAGCTCTTGTTTTCATTGTAAACCAGTGATACCAGACTAAATATAATGGTCTCATTAATCTCTTTGTCGTGATTAAAAAATTGGTTCCCTATGATTTAAAATTGTGTTCCCTGTGTATATCATACACACATTTTATGTCCTATAGACAGCCGGTCCCTCCACCAGACTGATAGATGCACTGCTCTGCATTAAAATATGACAACCCGTGGTCTGCTGAAAATAATTCTTTCAAAAAAATTATTTTTTCTTCTTATATTGTCAAAATTCAGTCTTTGATCACAGGAAACTTAAAAAAAAAAAAAAAAAAATAAAAAAAAATTGTGACATATTTTAGGCGTGATGGACCTGGGAAGTTGAGCAAATTATGGGAGCTGAGTGATGGAGTGCTCAAGGTCACTTTGCCCCGCCACCCCATGGGGTGGCAGTTGATGCGAATAATGTTTCACACTTTTATTTCTCATTCCTTCTTCTTGGGTTTTTTGCAGTAATACAGAGCACCTCTTGGTTCCCAAACTTTAGTTATCCGAAACTTCTAGTTTCCCGATTGGGGTTGGGGAGTCACGCTACACGAACTAAGTTTGGGTAGGAAGCAGTCCGCCAAGCATCACGCTGCCGGGGTTGGGGTTACCCTACATGAACCAAGTTCGGTTGAGGAAGCGATCTGCCAAGCGTCGTGCCGGCCCGTGGTGATGGGTGGGTAGGTGGGAGATGGTTTAGATTGCCCACTGACCGTGTCGGGCGCGACCACTCTAGGGCCTGCTACCCTGTGACGTCACAGATTCACGGCCTATTGTTCTCATTGTTTGAATTTGTCACGAGACTGGAGTGTTCATTCCGTGACTGTTTTACGTATCAGCACAATCAAGGAACATCCGTGCACCATGTCGGCTCCAAATGCACGCATTGTGTCAGTGAAAGCATCAACAAGTGGATTACGTAAAAGAAAGAGGTCAGTGATGACATTTGAGAAGAAAGTTGAAATAATTAAGAAGGTGGAGTGCGGTGTCCCAGAGACGTGAGGTAACGTAGAAGCCAGTGGCAGGCTGGCTGCTCGTGGAAAAGGCGCATGAATTTCACCAAGCAATGAAAATTACTCAAAAGTGTTTATACAGTGATGGATGGCTCAGAAGCTTTAAAACCCGTTATGGCATTAGGTTTATTAAAGTACATGTGTTACGGTCCTAATGGGACGCAACCGGGTTCTTTCCTGGTGGTACAAAAGTTCTGGTATCCAGCCCCAAGTTAGTAAATAGGAATAATTTAAATAGGGAGATTGAAGAAATCGAGCATAATTGAAACACTCATATGAAACTGAAGAAAGGCAGTTAGAACAGAAAGCAATTCAGGAAATAAAGAAAAATCCAAAATATTTCTTCTCATATGCGAAATCAAAAGCAAAAACCACTGCCAGTATTGGACCTATTCGTACAAGTGAAGGCTCATACACAGAGGATGACAAAGAAATTAGTGAAATCCTAAAAAAGCAGTATGAGGACATGTTTAGCACTCCAATAAACAACATGAAGGTGGAAGATCCAGACAATTTCTTTATGCAGGATATTCAAACCCCTGTAAATATAACATATAAACACGAGCGCACTAAATTTTGAAAAAGAAATTGAAAACATGCCCATGCACTCGGCCCTAGGTCCAGACTCATGGAATTCAATATTTATAAAGAAATGCAAAGTGCCGGTAGCACAGGCACTCAGTATAGTGTGGAGGAAGAGCTTGGACACGGGGGAGATACCAGATGCACTTAAAGTAGCAGACATTGCCCCTCTACACAAGGGAGGGAGCAAAGCATTGGCAAAAAATTATAGACCAGTTGCACTAACATCGCACATCATAAAAGTATTTGAGAGAGTGATTAGGAGTCAGGTCACCAATTTCATAGAGACCAATGACCTTCACAACGCAGGCCAACATGGATTTCGAGCGGGAAGATCGTGCCTCTCACAGCTACTTGAGCACTACGACAAAGTCACTGAGGCATTAGAAGAAAAACAGAATGCTGATGTGATATACACGGACTTCACAAAGGCTTTCGATAAATGTGACCATGGCGTGATAGCACACAAAATGAAGTCAATGGGAATAACCGGTAAAGTAGGACGCTGGATACTCGGTTTTCTGTCAAACAGGACTCAGCGAATAACGGTCAACCATATAAAATCTAGTCCAAGTGCAGTGAAAAACTCTGTACCTCAGGGTACAGTCCTTGCACCGCTGCTGTTCCTTATTCTCATATCAGATATAGACAAAAATACAAGTCACAGCTTCGTATCATCCTTTGCAGATGACACAAAAATCAGTATGAAAATTACCTCGGCTGAGGACATTGAAAAACTTCAAGCTGATATTAATAAAGTTTTCGACTGGGCATCAGAAAATAACATGATGTTTAACAGTGATAAATTCCAGGTACTCAGGTACGGTAAAAATGAGGACCTTAAACATAATACAGAGTATTCTGCGGTGCGACAGCCAGAAAAATGATAGGATGGATTACGAGAACTTTCAAATCCAGGGATCCCATCACAATGGTTGTACTCTTCAAGTCACTTGTGTTGTCCCGTCTTGAGTACTGCTCAGTACTCACTTCCCCCTTCAGAGCAGGAGAGATTGCTGAAATAGAGGGAATACAGAGAACATATATGGCACGCATAGACGCAATAAAGCACCTAAATTATTGGGATCGTCTCAAAGCCCTCCAAATGTACTCACTAGAAAGAAGACGAGAGAGATATCAAATAATATACACCTGGAAGATACTGGAGGGCCAAGTACCAAATCTACACAGTAAAATAACAACGTACTGGAGTGAACGATATGGAAGAAAATGTAGAATAGAACCAGTGAAGAGCAGAGGTGCCATAGGCACAATCAGAGAACACTGTATAAACATCAGAGGTCCGCAGTTGTTCAACGTCCTCCCAGCAAGCATAAGAAATATTGCCGGAACAACCGTGGACATTTTCAAGAGGAAACTAGATTTATTCCTCCAAGGAGTGCCGGACCAACCGGGCTGTGGTGGGTATGTGGGCCTGCGGGCCGCTCCAAGCAACAGCCTGGTGGACCAAACTCTCACAAGTCAAGCCTGGCCTCGGGCCGGGCTTGGGGAGTAGAAGAACTCCCAGAACCCCATCAACCAGGTATCAACCAGTAGTGGCTTTCAAGGGGTGAGCTCAGTAATGCAAGTAAAACAAAAGGGGGAGGTACATTAAATACAACAGGTTGTCACTTTATCCATATATAATTATTTTTCCCATCACCATATATATATAAAACTCTTAAAGGGAAGTATTACTACACTATATGTACATCAAGGTCTCTCTCAGAAGACACTAAACACTCGGCGAAGCTCAATCGATGCAGTCTTGTACCGTGTTTCCTCATCCGTCGTACTACTCTCCGCAGGCACCAGGAAACAACAATGAGTCTACCCTTGCCATGGGCCAGCCAAACCACAATTCCACTAAGTGCCTCTTCGTGAAGGCCCACCACCACAGTCCAGCCTGTTGCTGGCAGGTACCAATCAGCCTCGCTGTTGGGCCACTTCACTTGCAGATACTAGGGTAGCGGGCCCTAAGCAGGAGCTTCGTGCAACTCGCTGGTTACTCTCCTCTTCAGCACCTTAGTCAGTTATCTCTTCTACCAGCCAGTCCCGGGTACGGTGAATCCCGTCACTGCCACTTCACAGGCAGACAGTAGAACACTTCACAGTCCTCTTCCGGTGGCGGCTCACTGCTTCCTTAAAGCAGACTGGTGTAGAGACTTTGGCTGCCTTGCCCTGGGTAGACTGCCGGTCCTTGTATCACAGCAGCCCTACGTTGACTCTGTGAATACAGACAAGTCATCAGTACACTGGGACACTACATGGGACCACTAGGAAGCATACACTTATTGGCTTAGAAACCTATACCCAACTCCGCTTATGACAGATGGCGCTGCTTTTCTAAGCACCACCTCGCCAGAGGTCAGCACCAGCTACCTCACGAGCCGATTAGGACAGGAATCTAGTACCTCTCGCCGGTATATTCCCGTCATCACTAGATGGCGTTGTCCATGTTGTGGGGGTTTTTGGGAGCTGACTCACAGATGGCGCTGACGTCACTGCTCCGTGCTCTGACGATGAACTTGGGTTCGTAACAACATGGTGAAAGACCATCTGCTGATATTGTTGGTGTTGATGAGTATGCAAGTAAATTTGCAGAGATGGTACAGGAACAAAATTTATCTCCAGAGCAAATTTATAATGCTGATGAGACAAGTTTGTACTGGCGTATGCTACCCATGTATCGCCATACTCACCACGATGGCTCACAGTGGTGAGGACGATCCTTCAGGTGGTTATAAACAGAACAAACAGAGAATTTCTTTGTTGTGCTGTGCAAATGCAGCTGTCCCGCACAAATTAAAATTACTTGTGATTGGAATTAGTAAAAACCCCAGGGCTTTAAAGTCAGCCAGGTGCCTCCCTGTGATTTATAAGGGCCATCCAAGTGCGTGGATGTCTCGAGTAATATTTGTCGAGTGGTTTAATAAGAACTTTGTACCCGAGGTGAAGGAGCATCTGAAAAGTGTTGGGCTCCTGCAAAACAGCAAAGTTGTGCTGCTGCTAGATAAGAGTTCAACGCATCCATGAGGTGATGAGCTAGCAAATGGCAATATTATTAGAACGTTCTTGCCACCCAATACAACTTCAGTGATCCAACCCATGGATCAAGGAATTATTAATTAATTTTAACACTTTAGCTCGGTAACGACGCAGCATTGCGTCGTTTTTTTAGTAGAAGCATTCCCGGTAACAACGCAGCATTGCGTCGTTTTCGGCGGCTGGTTCGGAAGAGGCGCACAGCGGTTTTGGATAATATATGCATTTACTCTTGTAGAGAAT